ATGAAAAGGACTACTGGAAAAAATATTTAACCAAGAAATATGTTTTCAGTTTGACACACAAAGTATAACTTGCGTGTTGGAGCAGCCGATGGCTTCTGAAGATGAAGATTACTGGAGGGATATTTGATTTTCGTTGTGTATATTGTGACCGCTGCTAACTACAGGTTTAATGTATCACCACAAACTGTATACGTCACTCCATCACAATAAGTACCGATTTGTTATTGGTTATTAGCTACGGCAACACTGTAGAGGTTTCTGTATGATGTCACCAGGTGGATGGTATTACTACATTATAGGTCGGGCACGCTGGCAGGTTTAGAAGATTATTAATACGAGCTGACCTGCACGGTAGTGTCCTGGCGACTGTTGGCAACTGTTTACCACATGAAACCTGCCTCTTTAGACCCAAATAAACCTTAATTTCCACCTTACATCTATTTTGGTATCTTATCTATATACTACGGTACCACTGAGATAACACTGTAACACTATGTATGACACTTTATTGTCTTTGAGACACTCTTTCCTCTGGCTAAAAGTTCAAGTATTGTTGTTATTTGCATACACACATACTAAAGCCTAAAAGGCCTCCTCTGAAAATAAATTCTGGCAGGTATTGCACACTAATTCTCCTCTTTTTGATGCAGTGTATGCTATTTTCTAATAGATTGGTTCCAAACACTGGAGGGATTAACCTTATAAGTTCACTGGCGCAGTCTAGAGTTCTAGCATGCAAGCAACATCACAATAATCACGAAAAAAACACGGAGCACGGCGGGGCAAGTTGTAGCCTTTTCTTTCATGGACTGACAAATGACACATTTCAGGGTTAAATTACAAGAAGAAGGGTTGCACTCTCCTGTTGTCATGTGAGTGCAGCCTTTTTGGGGATGGCCAAAAGTGCATGTCCCACACTTCCACTATCATTTCATTCAACATTTTCACCATCATTCACACAATCATATCTTGTCAATCATGTCACTCCAAATAACCAAAATCTCAAACCCCTCCTTTAAAGTGCAGGCATTGTATTACTCACCTCCAGGACTCAAGTCCGGCTAACCGGTTTCCCTGAATCTCTTCATAAATGTTACTTTGCTCACACTCCAACAGCATGTCAAGTATTAAAAACCATTTGTCTCCATTCACTCCTATCAAACACGCTCACGCATGCCTGCTGGAAGTCCAAGCCCCTCGCACACAAAACCTCCTTTACCCCCTCCCTCCAACCTTTCCTAGGCCGACCCCTACCCCGCCTTCCTTCCACTACAGACTGATACACTCTTGAAGTCATTCTGTTTCGCTCCATTCTCTCCGAACCACCTCAACAACCCTTCCTCAGCCCTCTGGACAACAGTTTTGGTAATCTCGCACCTCCTCCTAACTTCCAAACTACGAATTCTCTGCATTATATTCACACCACACATTGCTCTCAGACATGACATCTCCACTGCCTCCAGCCTTCTCCTCGCTGCAACATTCATCACCCATGCTTCACACCCATATAAGAGCGTTGGTAAAACTATACACTCATACATTCCCCTCTTTGCCTCCAAGGACAAAGTTCTTTGTCTCCACAGACTCCTAAGTGCACCACTCACCCTTTTCCCCTCATCAATTCTATGATTCACCTCATCTTCATAGACCCATCCGCTGACACGTCCACTCCCAAATATCTGAATACATTCACCTCCTCCATACTCTCTCCCTCCAATCTGATATCCAATCTTTCATCACCGAATCTTTTTGTTATCCTCATAACCTTACTCTTTCCTGTATTCACTTTCAATTTTCTTCTTTTGCACACCCTACCAAATTCATCCACCAATCTCTGCAACTTCTCTTCAGAATCTCCCAAGAGCACAGTGTCATCAGCAAAGAGCAACTCTGACAACTCCCACTTTATGTGTGATTCTTTATCTTTTAACTCCACGCCTCTTGCCAAGACCCTCGCATTTACTTCTCTTACAACCCCATCTATAAATATATTAAACAACCACGGTGATATCACACATCCCTGTCTAAGGCCCACTTTTACTGGGAAATAATTTCCCTCTTTCCTACATACTCTAACTTGAGCCTCACTATCCTCGTAAAAAACTCTTCACTGCTTTCAGTAACCTACCTCCTACACCTACACCTGCAACATCTGCCACATTGCCCCCTATCCACCCTGTCATACGCCTTTTTTTTAAATCCATAAATTCCACAAAAAACCTCTTTAGCCTTATCTAAATACTGTTCACTTATGTGTTTCACTGTAAACACCTGGTCCACACACCCCCTACCTTTCCTAAAGCCTCCTTGTTCATCTGCTATCCTATTCTCCGTCTTACTCTTAATTCTTTCAATAATAACTCTACATACACTTTGCCAGGTATACTCAACAGACTTATCCCCCTATAATTTTTGCACTCTCTTTTATCCCCTTTGCCTTTATACAAAGGAACTATGCATGCTCTCTGCCAATCCCTAGGTACCTTAACCCTCTTCCATACATTTATTAAATAATTGCACCAACCACTCCAAAACTATATCCCCACCTGCTTTTAACATTTCTATCTTTATCCCATCAATCCCGGCTGCCTTACCCCCTTTCATTTTACCTACTGCCTCACGAACTTCCCCCACACTCACAACTGGCTCTTCCTCACTCCTACAAGATGTCGTTCCTCCTTGCCCTATACACGAAATCACAGCTTCCCTATCTTCATCAACATTTAAACAATTCCTCAAAATATTCCTCCATCTTCCCAATCCTCTAACTCTCCATTTAATAACTCTCCTCTCTTATTTTTAACTGACAAATCCATTTGTTCTCTAGGCTTTCTTAACTTGTTAATCTCACTCCAAAACTTTTTCTTATTTTCAACAAAATTTATTGATAACATCTCACCCACTCTCTCATTTGCTCTCTTTTTACATTGCTTCACCACTCTCTTAACCTCTCTCTTTTTCTCCATATACTCTTCCCTCCTTGCATCACTTCTACTTTGTAAAAACTTCTCATATGCTAACTTTTTCTTCCTTACTAGTCTCTTCACATCATCATTCCACCAATCGCTCCTCTTCCCTCCCGCACCCACTTTCCTGTAACCACAAACTTCTGCTGAACACTCTAACACTACATTTTTAAACCTATCCCATACCTCTTCGACCCCATTGCTATGCTCTCATTAGCCCATCTATCCTCCAATAGCTGTTTATATCTTACCTAACTGCCTCCTCTTTTAGTTTATAAACCTTCACCTCTCTCTTCCCTGATGCTTCTATTCTCCTTGTATCCATCTACCTTTTACTCTCAGTGTAGCTACAACTAGAAAGTGATCTGATATATCTGTGGCCCCTCTATAAACATGTACATCCTGAAGTCTACTCACAGTCTTTTATCTACCAATACATAATCCAACAAACTACTGTCATTTCGCCCTACATCATATCTTGTATACTTATTTATCCTCTTTTTCTTAAAATATGTATTACCTATAACTAAACCCCTTTCTATACAAAGTTCAATCAAAGGGCTCCCATTATCATTTACACCTGGCCACCCCAAACTTACCTACCACACCCTCTCAAAAGTTTCTCCTACTTTAGCATTCAGGTCCCCTACCACAAATTACTCTCTCACTTGGTTCAAAGGCTCCTATACATACACTTAACATCTCCCAAAATCTCTCTCTCTCCTCTGCATTCTCTCTTCTCCAGGTGCATACACGCTTATTATGACCCACTTCTCGCATCCAACCTTTACTTTAATCCACATAATTCTTGAATTTACACATTCATATTCTCTTTTCTCCTTCCATAACTGATCATTCAACATTACTGCTACCCCTTCCTTTGCTCTAACTCTCTCAGATACTCCAGATTTAATCCCATTTATTTCCCTCCACCGAAACTTCCCTACCCCCTTCAGCTTTGTTTCGCTTAGGGCCAGGACATCCAACTTCTTTTCATTCATAACATCAGCAATCATCTGTTTCTTGTCATCCGCACTACATCCACGCACATTTAAGCATCCCAGTTTTATAAAGTTTTTCTTCTTCTCTTTTTTAGTAAATGTCTACAGGAGAAGGGTTACTAGCCCATTGCTCCCGGCATTTTAGTCGCCTCATACGACAGCATGGCTTACGGAGGAAAGATTCTTTTCCACTTCCCCATGGACAATAGAAGAAATAAAGAGGAACAAGAGCTATTTAGAAAAAGGAGAAAAACCTAGATGTATGTATATATATATGCATGTGCGTGCCTGTGAAGTGTGACCCAAGTGTAAGTAGGAGTAGCAAGATATCCCTGTTATCTAGCGTGTTTAGAGACAGAAAAAGAAACCAGCAATCCTACCATCATGCAAAACAGTTACAGGTTTCTGTTTCACAGTCATCTGGCAGGACGGTAGTACTCCTAGGTGGTTGCTGTCTACCAACCTATATATATATATATTTATATATATATATATATATATATATATATATTATATATATATATATATATATATTATATATATATATATATATATATATATATATATATATATATATAATATATATATATATATATATATACTATATATATATATATATATATATATAAATATATATATATATATATATATGTTATATATATATATATATATATATATATATTATACATATATATATAATATATATATATATTATATATATATATTATATATATATATATATATATATATTATATATATACATATATATATATATATATATATATATATATATATTTATATATATATATATTACATACATATATATATATATATATATATATATTATATTTATATATATATATATATATATATATATATATATATATATAATAGTATATATATAATATATATATAACTGATGGGCATAAACACCAATAAACCAACCAATTGCAATAAATAAATATCAAGATAGTATTAATAGCTTTCAAAGCTCTGAAGAGTGATTTATATCATTTTCTTCTTCCTCCAGGAGTTGATGGGTGCCCGCAAGAAGTATTTGTGTTACCTGGTGGCGCTGGTTATTATTTGCGTTGTATGGTGAGTACCCTCACCAGTGTTGCCTGCTGGAGCTGGTTACCACTGGCAGTTTATAATGAGTAGCCTCTCCGGTGAACAATGCCACTCTGTACATGCAGTTTGTCTTAACATTTCCTATATTAATGTATCTTTTTCCAGATATATGTACTTTCGTGTAAACTCATGTGATAAGTCCTAAATTGTTGCTCCACACACCTAACCTGGTTGACTGTCAAAACACACTTCGTCTTTATAGACACGATAATCTAACAATTTCACACCTGACGCATTCACTTAAGTCTTTCTAATCCATGTCGTGAAAAAAAATACAAATTTCTGCCTTACATCCAATTGTAGCATTCTCATACTGTAAACTACTTTCAACAACTCACAATGTTATATTCCCATAATAGAATTTCATTATTTACTATTGAAACTAGTGAAATTTGAGTAAAATTACTGTGTACTATAAATAAACAAGACGTACAACTTAAACAAACTATGTTCAATTCCTTTAGTATCATGTAGTCTGGAAGCCATTAAATTAAGTCTGGCCATAATGCTCAGCCATGATAGTGGCCCTTTGTACTGCTACACATTTTTTGTAATTTCATAATCTCAGTGTAATCTTGAAAGGAAATAAAAATGGACCGAATAATTGATAGATTGAAGTCGTGGCACATGATCTGGTAATACATGATCTTACATGTTTTACAAAATTATTTTGCCTTAAAGGACAGGTAAGAGGCGATGCCCACATTTTAATGCAAAGTTTCCCAAATGTTGATAATAGGAGGTCACCTATTATAGTTTAGAACAGAATAAGTTGGACCTACCTGGAGGGTACTAGTAACTATTGTGGTTAATTTACACACTCCAGAGCACAATTATAAAAATTTACAGCAATCTAGAGTCAAATTGGAAAGCACACTTAAACCTTAAGTAACAAGTATAATCTGGGAAAATCAGATTGAATATTGAGTGCTAGTGTGTAAAATAAGTCTGTAGAGTGTTTATCCAGTAAGTACCATAAAAGATGTTTCTCCTTGGAGGAAATAAGAGAAGGTATCCAAGAGTGAACTGTCCACCTACTAATTAGTCAACCAAATAATTATAATGATGTACAAATAATTGATCTGATGTATCTGTTAAGTTCGCTCCTGGAGAGCGAAATGTTGCCACAATAAATCTGTTAAGTTCGCTCCTGGAGAGCGAAATGTTGCCACAATAAAATGTAAAATTAGGTGCACATATGTCCTTTTACTTAATAAAGTTAATTTCTAATCAGAATCTACATAAGACGATCACGAGAATCACTAAATAAAATTATTTACCTCTTACAAGATCATAGTTTGATATTACCAGTGTTATAAATGTTGACCTAGCAGTAAATGTTGACCTAGCAGTAAATGTTGACCTAGCAGCAAATGTTGACCTAGCAGTAAATGTTGACCTAGCAGTAAATGTTGACCCAGCTGTAAATTTTGACCTAGCAGTAAATGTTGACCTAGCAGTAAATGTTGACCTAGCAGTAAATGTTGACCTAGCAGTAAATGTTGACCTAGCAGTAAATGTTGACCTGGCAGTAAATGTTGACCTAGCAGTAAATGTTGACCTACCAGTAAATGTTGACCTAGCAGTAAATGTTGACCTAGCTGTAAATGTTGACCTAGCAGTAAATGTTGACCTAGCAGTAAATGTTGACCTAGCAGTAAATGTTGACCTAGCTGTAAATGTTGACCTAGCAGTAAATGTTGACCTAGCTGTAAATGTTGACCTAGCTGTAAATGTTGACCTAGCTGTAAATGTTGACCTAGCAGTAAATGTTGACCTAGCAGTAAATGTTGACCTAGCAGTAAATGTTGACCTAGCTGTAAATGTTGACCTAGCTGTAAATGTTGACCTAGCAGTATATGTTGACCTAGCAGTAAATGTTGACCTAGCAGTAAATGTTGACCTAGCAGTAAATGTTGACCTAGCAGTAAATGTTGACCTAGCAGTAAATGTTGACCCAGCAATAAATGTTGACCTAGCAGTAAATGTTGACCTAGCAGTAAATGTTGACCTAGCAGTAAATGTTGACCTAGCAGTAAATGTTGACCTAGCTGTAAATGTTGACATAGCAGTAAATGTTGACCTAGCAGTAAATGTTGACCTAGCAGTAAATGTTGACCTAGCAGTAAATGTTGACCTAGCAGTAAATGTTGACCCAGCAGTAAATGTTGACCTAGCAGTAAATGTTGACCTAGCAGTAAATGTTGACCCAGCAGTAAATGTTGACCTAGCAGTAAATGTTGACCTAGCAGTAAATGTTGACCTAGCTGTAAATGTTGACCTAGCAGTAAATGCTGACCTAGCTGTAAATGTTGACCTAGCAGTAAATGTTGACCTAGCAGTAAATGTTTGACCTGGCAGTAAATGTTGACCTAGCAGTAAATGTTGACCTAGCAGTAAAT